CATCCAATGGAAAGTCTGACAACTCCTGAAATGACATGGCTGTGATGGCATCTTTGTCCATGATCCACTGAGGGGGCAGGAAGTATCGCAAACAGGTTCTGAAAGCACATCAAAGAATTTGGAATGAGTACTTAAAACTAGTAGAGGGTTAGCGTTGGGATGCCCGATGCTACAGAGCACTAGAACTCCATACAAATGCATGAGCATGGACCAATGTACCACAGCCAGCTATTGTGACAACTTATCCTAAAAACGTTTTAGAATATGTCTTTGGACTAGATGGTGCAGATATTTACCTGTAGCCATTAGCAATATCTTCTGTAATTTGACTTGTAACAGCTGGTGTGGTGGTTGATGATGTGGGAGCCTCTGCACCATCTTGTGATGAGGGGGATGATGGGACAATGCTGGAATCCTGAAATATTTTCAGCTGTATAAGTTTTTTCTTTAAGGACGATAATGCTTGAATCCTGAAATATTTTTATTATGTTTTCTTTCCTATTTCCAGAAGTAAACACAAACCTTTTTCTTGTCCAATAGCTTGATGTCTGACCCATCTTTGTCATACCTGCAAGGGAGAAGGGTCAATTTAAGCCTGCTGGGTATAGAACTGGTAATACTATACCTTTATATGTTGAAGGTCTCAGAAAAAAGTAAATTACTATATGTCACATCTGAGTTAGTTTTAAACCTAATTAACCTGTAAACTAGCTAGATGGAGGGCCAATATGACATCTATACTAGCTAGATGGAGGGCCATTATGCCAACTATACTAGCCAGATGGAGGGCCATGCCATCTATACTAGCTAGATGGAGGGCCAATATGACATCTATACTAGCTAGATGGAGGGCCATTATGCCAACTATACTAGCCAGATGGAGGGCCATGCCATCTATACTAGCTAGATGGAGGGCCATGCCATCTATACTAGCTAGATGGAGGGCCAATATGACATCTATACTAGCTAGATGGAGGGCCATGCCATCTATACTAGCCATTATGCCAACTATACTAGCTAGATGGAGGGCCATTTTGCCAACTACACTAGCTAGATGGAGGGCTATTATGCCAACAATACTAGCTAGATGGAGGGCCATTAGGCCAACTATACTAGCTAGATGGAGGGCCATTATGCCAACTATACTAGCTAGATGGAGGACCATTAGGCCAACTATACTAGCTAGATGGAGGGCCATTATGCCAACTATACTAGCTAGATGGAGGGCCATTATGCCACAATACTAGCTAGATGGAGGGCCATTAGGCCAACTATACTAGCTAGATGGATGGCCATGCACATAAACAAGCCAAGTTGTGGGCCCACCATCTAAAGTGATGACGGCAGGATGGTGGGCCTCCTCCCTTAACCCACTGTTCTATTGTTAAGAATAATAAATCCAACTGGTTGACTTTTTACGTCTTCAACCTATCCAACATCGCCAGCCGTTTGTCACGTGTCCCAACGCAACCAATGAAAGGCCAGGATGTCGAAGGTAAGTTAAACGTAGCGGCATCCTTTGTCTGCTCTTTTGCCCCCCCCCCCCCCCAATCCCGGTATTATGTTCGCGGTACACGAGATCCGATGTTGACAGGGAAACAGATCCGCCGCTGACACGTCTAGCGAGCTGTGATCACCCTGCTAATATCTGCATCTAGCCTCCCATTACACCAGTACAGGCTAATGCATCTTGCCTCCCATTACAACCAGTACAGGTTGGGATGGCTAATGGCATCTTGCCTCCCATTACACCCAGTATAGGCTAATGACATCTAGCCTCCCATTACACCAGTATAGGCTAATGACATCTAGCCTCCCATTACACCAGTATAGGCTAATGACATCTAGCCTCCCATTACACCAGTATAGGCTAATGACATCTAGCCTCCCATTACACCAGTATAGGCTAATGACATCTAGCCTCCCATTACACCAGTATAGGCTAATGACATCTAGCCTCCCATTACACCAGTATAGGCTAATGACATCTAGCCTCCCATTACACCAGTATAGGCTAATGACATCTAGCCTCCCATTACACCAGTACAGGTTGGGATGGCTAATGGCATCTTGCCTCCCATTACACCAGTATAGGCTAATGACATCTAGCCTCCCATTACACCAGTATAGGCTAATGACATCTAGCCTCCCATTACACCAGTATAGGCTAATGACATCTAGCCTCCCATTACACCAGTACAGGCTAATGGCATCTTGCCTCCCATTACACCAGTACAGGCTAATGGCATCTAGCCTCCCATTACACCAGTACAGGCTAATGGCATCTAGCCTCCCATTACACCAGTATAGGCTAATGACATCTAGCCTCCCATTACACCAGTACAGGTTGAGATGGCTAATGGCATCTAGCCTCCCATTACACCAGTACAGGCTAATGACATCTAGCCTCCCATTACACCAGTATAGGCTAATGACATCTAGCCTCCCATTACACCAGTACAGGTTGAGATGGCTAATGGCATCTAGCCTCCCATTACACCAGTATAGGCTAATGACATCTAGCCTCCCATTACACCAGTACAGGCTAATGACATCTAGCCTCCCATTACACCAGTATAGGCTAATGACATCTAGCCTCCCATTACACCAGTATAGGCTAATGACATCTAGCCTCCCATTACAACCAGTACAGGTTGGGATGGCTAATGGCATCTTGCCTCCCATTACACCAGTACAGGTTGAGATGGCTAATGGCATCTAGCCTCCCATTACACCAGTATAGGCTAATGACATCTAGCCTCCCATTACACCAGTACAGGTTGAGATGGCTAATGGCATCTAGCCTCCCATTACACCAGTATAGGCTAATGGCATCTTGCCTCCCATTACACCAGTACAGGTTGAGACGGTCTATACTACTACAGGACGGTTCTGGTTAGGGTTAGCAACACTAGCAAAACAAACAAGTTTTGTCCCAGTTTTTAAAATACCGATAACAACATCACGCATTCCAGTTTATATTGTACTAGAATACCCGTCATCCGTTGGATAACTGTGGGTTTCGGGGGTCATCCATAAAAAAACATCACGTCTGTCACTCAGAGGCATAGCGACCCTTCCCGGCGCCCGGGACAAACTTTTCGATTTTAACCCCCCCCCCCCCCCCCCCCCCCCCCAAGATTTCGATTTTCAACCCCCCCCCCTCAAACTTTCGATTTGCACCCCCCTCAACCTTTCAATTTATTTTTCCAAACCATTTTGGCGCCCCAACATATGTCCCCCCGCCCCCCCCTCCACCTCCCCCCGCCTCCCCTTCCCCCCCCCCCCCCCCCGCCTCCCCCTCCCCCCCGCCTCCCCTCCCGCCCCCCCCTCCTCGCTACGCTACTGCAGTGTCACTTATGGTCACAAAAAACAGACCCCACATTCAAAAATATGTTTTTTATCTTTTAAAAACACCGAAAACACCGATTTCGGACTATCCCTTCATATACTGACGTCACATGTGACCTACTCAACTCTACTTCACCTGCCCCAGTGTCCCGCCAAGTCTCAGACAACTTGTTTTTATCGTTTAAAAAACGATTCCAGCCGAGCATGTCTCTGACCACACTATCCTTTCATATGCTTAGGACAAAGAAACAGATGAACTCTACTTCACCTGCCCTGTATCCTGCCAAGTTCAGATAGGCAACTTTATCATTCACATCTAAAAAAAAAAATATTGAAAAAAAAATATCATTGACATATTGGTCTAGAACCTGTGCCACCCACATGAGAGCGGGCTACGCTACCAACTTAGCTATTTACTCGTGACGTCACAAATGAATTTTTATACTATACTTTTGAGTCTCCGCGCATAGATCTAGTAGTAGTAACTTTCAAATTAAATTTAATCTTAAATTAGCCAAACAAAGATTTATATAAAATAATTAAGGCCTGAAATAGATTCTAGATGTATTAAGGCCTGAAATAGATTCTAGATGTAGAATTTACATTAAGTCTAGATCTAGAATTTACACTGAGTCTAGTAGTGACCTAGAATCTAGATCTAGGCTAGATCTAGGCTAGATTCATAACTTCCCTTCGACAGCTGATCTTTAGATCTAGAGAAATTTATCGTAAAACTAAATGAAAAAGACAGTTGAAAATTGATATAAGTGTTGGAACGTAATAAATACAGCAAACGGACGTATTGTTTAAGTTATAGCCGGCAGAAAATTAGCTTTGTAACGCGTTAAACTTTTGAATGGGCCACAAAGTCTATGATGAGTCCGCCATTTTTATTGAACCAAAAAGTAAACACATCAAGGGACGTCACTATCCCCACAAAGTTTGTTCAAAGTATTAACATTTTTAAAAAAATACGGTTAATTTAACTATGAATAAATCAATAAATTAATTAACGTCTTTAAATAAATTTGTGATCAACAGTCTGTCTGCATTAAAAAATTATTCTCTACCTGCATACTATTTTACAGCTTTCCAGATAGAGTCGAACATATCACAATAGTCGATCAGGCAAACAAATAAATATTCAAACATGTAAACAAAGTTGAGTTTTAGTATAGTATATAGATGAGCGAGATAGAGGAAACATTAATAATTTGTAAACAAAACAATTCTTGTTTTATTTATTTTGTTCTATTTTCGAAGTGAAAGCTCTTGGGTGATGTGCAATCAAAGTGACTGCATGTTAAGACGACGTCTCCATATGGTCAAGACAGCGTGCATGTGCAGCAATAAATTAATCTTATCAGCTAATCAACCACTTTGTCGGGTGCAAGCTCTCGGTGCGCACCAGCTGCCTCGTGCTGCACGGTGCTGCACCAGTCGACACCTCAATTCTCTGGCAACGTCATATTTAGAGGAGACAATAAAACATTCTATCGTACATGAGAGTTAGCGAACTTGACCCACTTAAGCTTTCAAAAACTACGCACCAATTTTAGATTAATTAAAAACAATAAGAGATATTTGAATAATTGCTCTGCAGAATGACATAGACTATCTTCTGAGCAATTAGAATGTATGTATCTAAT